TTGTCCCACGTGTCAGGCTCGGCATCGCACATAATCCTAAGGTTCGACTTAATAACGGACATCATATGCTCAACTTGGCCGTTAGCTTTTTGGTTGCCTGTGGTAACTCGGACTTGTTTGAGCCCAGCTGCTTTAAGAAGGGCTTCAAACTCGGCTCGAAATTCGGACCCTTGATCAGACACGACCTGAAACGGGTAACCATGCTGAAACATTATTGCCTCTTTAAACCAATTTGTGACTGTGGCCGCAGTCTTTTCTCTGAGGCCACCTCCAACGACCAACTTAGTGAATGCGCAGATTGCTACCACTATGTACGTCCACTTCTTTTTTCTAGACGGTTCAAACGGACCACATAAGTCGATGTGCACTCGAAACCAAGGAGAAACAAGAGGAGTCGGAAAAAGTTCACGGTCGGTTCTACATGCCCGCCCTGCCTTTTCGTTTTGGCACTCCGGGCAAGACGCAATAAACTTATGACAAATCTCCGTCAGTAGAGGGAAAAAGAAACGCTCTTCAACCTTGATACGAAACTTGCTTTTATCTTTAGGGTAGTGAGAAAGCTCTTCGTGCATACCCTTTAAGGTAGGAAGAACTTCTTCCTCCCACAAAACGCGAACTTTACCATGAGGTTTAAGTTTATACAACGTCCCACTTTCAAGAGAAAAGTTTTTAGCTTTGTTCTTGAAGTTTCGCCGTTCGTATTTTGTGACCACGGTCGAGGGAAAATCACCCTGTGTTGTCTTTGAAGTCAGAGATCTGGTGAAGAAGGTCATAATGAGCGCGTTTTAACTCTTGCTGTTCAGTCAAAGTATAAACGTACTTCTTCTTTGGTAAGGAAGAAGTCGATGGACCAGCAAGCTCACCAGCAGCAACGTCTGAAGGTTTGGCGTCCTCAGGAAGCTTTTGCTTCTTGGCCGCAGGATCCGCTGTGGTTGGCAGTCCGGTCCGCTTTTCAGTCGAAATGGTGATGTTGGCTGGTGGCGTGTCAGATGACGTCACACGAGGGACGCCGAATTTCATTGACTGATCTGGAGAAAGGAGGAGGTAAGAGGAGTCAGTCAATTAGTCACGAGAGAGATGCGAAGCGCTGGCGCGAGAAAGAGCGTCCGCATTTGAGTGCTTGATGCCCTTTCGGTGCTCAACCACGAAAGAAAAGTCTGATTCAATGTAGGAAAGCCAACGAGCGAGTTTACCCTGTTGAGGGTTCATGGTTCTCAGCCATGTGAGAGCCGCATGGTCGGTCCGAACCAGAAACTCAGGGCCACCGCGAAGAAACTCGGAGAAGTGCTTCAAACCAAAAATCAGAGCAGAGAGTTCGCCCTCGGTTGTACCCATTTTCGTCTTGCTAAGGGTCCGAGATGCGTAACCTATGACCTTCTCACGTTTGTAGGCGGGGTTTTGCATCCCCAAGATGGCCGAAACGGTAGTCTTCTCGTAGTTCGTGTCTAGGACAAGGCGAAAACGAGGATCGTACCGAGCCAGAATTGGCGGCGCACACAGCTTTTGCTTTAAAGTCTCGAAAGCTTGCTGACAAGTAGCTGACCAGTTGAAATCCTCTTGTTTAGAAAGGAGTTTCGTCATCGGTTTCGCAAGGTGAGCAAACCGGTGGATAAAGACACGATAATACTGGAACAACCCAAGCACGGCCTGTAGCTGTTTTACAGTACGAGGGCTCTGCAGATTCTGGATGGCCTCTATCTTTCGAGGAGACATTCTCATGCCTTCTTGCGAAATGATATGGCCGAGATACTCAACTTCCTCGGCTCCAATCGTACACTTCTTGGGATTCAGCTTGAGGCCCGCCCAAGAGAGACGTTCGAGCACGCGATCCAGATGTCGGGCCAGTTCGGTGACTGTGCCTGCATGACAACAAAGATCATCAAGATAGATACTGAGGAATTCACCGTAATCAATCGGAGGAAAGATGATCTCTTGAAGGCGAGTGAAGGTGGCCGGGGAGTTCTTTAGCCCCATCGGCATCACTAACCACTCAAAAAGACCTATATTACGAAGGGAGAACGCTGTATACTGCTGATGTTCTTTCTTTAGGGGAATGTTGTAAAAGCCAGAAGTGACGTCCATTGTTGCAAAGTACTTGGACCTGCCCAGTTTCTGGTGCAAATCAGTGATGAACGGCAGAGGCATCGCCCAGGACCGAGTGGCCTTGTTAAGGAGACGCCAGTCGACCACCATACGATACTGGCCTGGCTGATTGGGTTTGGCCACCAGGAAAGCAGGGACAGACCAAGGAGATGTAGAGCGTCGAATGATTCCTTCTTTCAAAAATTGCTGAATGTACTCTAATGCAATCTTCTGCTCTGCAAACGACATTTTGAAAGGCCGAACTTTGATCGGGGTTTTATTCAAAAGGTCAATCTCATGCTCAATTAAGGTAGTGAATCCGACATCACCTTTGTAACGGCTGAAGCTGGTGATCCGACGTCGAATGACGTCTTCAAGCTCTTGCCGCTCAGAGGGTGTCAAAGTTTTGCCGAAGGTGATCTCTGACACGATGCGCTGGACGTCCTCCACGGTGTAGTCGGCCTTTTGTGCCGGCTCTTGGGAGTAGACTTCCTGGTCGGAGTTCGAAACAACTTGTACCTGCATTCGGATCAATTCAACAGGAGGTTCAGACACACCATCACGGTACAACCAGGTAAACGAACCAATGTCCGGGTTGAGAATCGCCTTTTTAGCTTTCTTTAGCAACTTTTTCAATTGCCCGTTTGGAGCCTTGTCAGCTTTAGCCCACCTCCGAACTACTTCTAAGTCCGCCACAGTTCGGATTTTGACCCCCTTAAGGACTTGTCCCTTATCTTCTGGGACACAATAGTCCCTCGAACTTACGGGGGCCGTCCGTTTTTTGACAGGCGGGTCAATTTGATGACTGGCGGCTGTTGTCCGACCCAGGCATCACCATGAACGGACTCAACCGTCGTGACAAAGTAAGCGTCGTTAAACAAGGCGTCTCGGGGATCACCCCTTTCAGCAACGATTGGCAAAACGACCTTTTCTCCGGCATAGTGACACTGAATTTCGTTTCTGCTCCTAAGGATATCAATCTTCAGAGGAGCCATCACGTCATTCGCCAAGAGCAGATTGTAGGAGCATTCGGCAGGCATGACAATCATCCGGGTTTTAACCTTCAGAGTGCCAAGGCGGAGGTGAATCGGAGCGGTGCCCAAAGCAGGACGAAGTTCGCCAGAAGAAGTTTTGTAAGCGGCCTCAGTGGGCCGGATTTTGTGAGCGATTTTCAGCTTGTGCACCAAGCTCTCTGACACACCAGACATTGTTGCCCCAGAATCGAGAATGATGCGAGTCGGAACATCTTCGACCAAGACTTGCACCTCGGTTCGCAGATTTGGAACATCATACTTCGGATCCGTTTCTACTTTGAGATAGTTAGACTCACGCGGCGGATCAGAAGGTCTTCCCTTCTTTGCAGGGGGTTGCTGCTCTCCGCCAGTAGCGTCACGCCCGGCTGTTTGAGCCGCTTTTGGACGTGTCCGTTTCTGATGTGCAAACAGTCTGTCGACGTACCTGTGAAGATCAGTACGAAAGTGTTTGACTTGTTTGTGACTGACCAGGCGCTCTCGCGCCTCACCAAGTGCAGCTTTGATCATGAGCTCATTTTGGACTTCTTGTTGTTGACGGTTGCGCGCCCTAGCTTCAGTGCGCTGCCGCTTTTGTTCTGCAGTGAGAGGATTCGCAACAGGTTTTACCGGCTCACGCTGATTTGGTAAGCGGCGCTTGTCTCGACCCGCCTGGCGGCCAGTCCCTGCACTGACAGTGGGTTCTTCACGCCCTCTTTTCTGAGCGTAGATTTCAACCTCTTCCAAAGACTCATCGGAACTGGAGTATTCATCCTCATCCTCAGACCAAGATTCAGAATCTTCACCCTCAACTGCATACAGCTCAGCCGGCACACCAGACTCAAGAGGGGGCATCCCATAATCCTGGTCAATCACTTCCACCTCTTCTAGAAAATTGTGTTCCGCTGTACCGCCCGCAGGGCCGCGGCTCCTTTCGGAACAGTCAGCCCTGTGTCTACCATAAAACCAACAGCAAGAGTTGTACTGGGCGCGTTGTTCATTCGGACAGTCCCGAATGGTGTGATAAGGCCCGCCTTCTACCAGGCACCTAGGACAGCGCCACGCGCGCCTGCCATCTGAACCCCTACTATCACCCGCGGTATGACCATCATTGCCAGACCCATTTGCAGGACCGTTGGACTGAGCCCTAGTACCATGAGTCCTCTTTGGGGACTCTGTGAGCAGAAGTTGCCCTACTTGTTTCTCTAACGAATTGAGTTTTGACTGAGGGTCTTGATCCGGAATAGTTTCGTAAATCTGTTCAGCGACGCGAGCAGCTGCAATGGCCTCTTGCATAGTAGCAGGATTTCTAGCCATGCAGTTCTTCCTGATTCCAAAGTTCAAGTTTTTGATGTATTTGCGCACACACCGGGTAGGCAACAAACAGTTTATTGCTACTACCACCGTGAAAAAACATGGCAAAAGTAGTGGCTTTACCAGGGAGCACAAACATGTTAGACATAATAAACATAATAAACATTAGATTTTCAAAAGCATGTTTTTCAGGGTTTGTCGATGTTCGTTAGGGTTTTTTTTTGGGTTTTTTCAATGTGGGACACAGATAGCATCTTTTAAAGGTCGCAAATAAGTCAAACCACTTCTAAACCACTTCTAAACGACACTTCTATTGTGATCTTTGTAACAGTCCGCATATAGATCATGGCATCATTGGCCAACCTAGCATATCGACATGCTTTCCTCACAATTGCATACGGATAGGGGTGCCAAAGCAGACATGCTAGACGTTTGCTAGACTCGCAGAATGAGCCTGCAAAGGTCAATCATAGAACATCCATGCAATTGATTCGAATTATGCGCTTATGTTGATTCGTATATACGCACAATTACATGCTCTGTGATGTTGTCAGTTTTAGATCAAGGTAGTGAAGTTATAGAATGCTGAGCTCTGGAGACACTTGTCAGTGTGGCAAACTCAAACGGATTCCTTGAAACGGCCAACAAGCCGCAGCGCTGACTCATGCATACTACAAAGATATAGAATTGGTGACATGACTCTCAGAGTCGGTGTGCTCAGTGCTCACGCTGGCCAGAGGCTGTATATTGTATCTTGTGAGTGATATCTGTGAAATGTGCATGTGCATCATGCATGTACTGCATATGTTCATAAGCATCGGTGTGTTCCTCAAACCTCCAAAAAGATGTTCCAACGAGGTGTGTTCCTTTAAATCTTATTACTGATCTATTGAGAGCATGCTGCAAGTCTTATGTACGATCTACAATTGAGGTTGGTCTTGGTCGACTCGGTGAATTTCAAACAAAGTTTCAACGCACTCAATCTAGAGAATCGGAGAGGGCGGTTTGAGAAGTCATGCAAGTCTGCACGCGCCTAAACTGTTTTACAGTGGACAATAATGCTTTCGAAAAGGTAGAGAGGGCAATTCAATAAGGCCGGTGGTTGGTGTTGCCATAAATAAAATCAATAGGTCTTGAGCGCCGAACACCAAGCAGACAAATCCACCTAGACCTCTTATCGGCGTGCGAGTGCACTTGCAACTCGACCAGTTCGTGTAGTTACCCCGACTCGATCTACCCTTGCACCAGCCACTGCCCGAGACTGTGCTTCTGCGGCTTGGGACCCGGGAGGGGGCCGAGCCCTCCTTCCCGCTGCCAATTGTTGACTCCGAACTTCGTTAGCGACAAATGCCTCAAACGCCCGCAGATCGCTATCTGACAAGGTGTACGCGGACCCTTGATCATCTTTTCGCAGGTCTGCGTTCCCTATTACTGACCCTAACGAGATTGGGTCGGCCTCGCCAGCCGCCTCCTGCCCGCCATACACAAAGGTCTTGGTCCCTGTTCGCGTAAAGTACTTGAGGACCAGGTGGACTGCCGGGTCCCGCTCGTCGCCAAGAGACACCTGCAAGAACCCAAAAGCTCATGAGAGAACTGCGCGCGAGTGTGCATGGGGCCTGCTTCCACACCTTGCAACACACAGACAATCTGGTTTGCAACTACAGGTCTTGCGAGCATCTCAAGACTTCTTTTCAATCTACGAGTTCTCTGCTTCCAGCAGAATTTCAGCGACACTCGAGTGCAGAAAACCTACCGGCAGAACATAGTCGACACGCGCACCCGTAGCATACTTCTTGAACATCTTCTGGATGCGCCCGAGGTACCACTGGTGGGAGTCCGCTTCCGCAAGCGGACCGTTGACGAAGTAGACGGCGACGACATCAAAGAGTCCAACCTCCTCGCCTCCGCCGCCATCAGCACCGGTGGTGTTCTCCGGTGTGTCGCGCACCTGGAAAAGTGAACAGAGTTCGGCGTTAGTTATAATTAGTTATAAGTTAGTAATAATGAATTCTCCCGAGATAGTCGATCGACGCTCAAGCTGACGTTTCATCCTTACACGAGAAATTGAGTCCGTATTCTAAAATGGAGATCCTATGGGCCAGGCCTGAAGTCAATCTTCAGAGCGCAAAAACATCATCTCCAGCTCGAGCTCCGGACGAAAGAAATAGGCTCCTGACGAATGGACTGAAGCGAAGTAGTCGGGACACATACCAACAATCGGCAGTCAAATCTCAGCTTCACAAGCACTGATGGCAGAAACGGAATCATCCCTGCACGTTGATCTCCCGCAAATCCAAGTAGATCATCCCTGCACGTTGATCTCCCGCAAATCCAAGTAGAGCGTTACGTGCTGACCTGAACTCGCCTCAGCCAATCTAGCGGCAAACTCCCCGGGTGCTTGTTGAGCTCCGAGATGACTCGCATCTTGTACACGGGCCCTTTCCCAGGAACGTCAACCGTTGACGGCACCTTCCCGTGTGCAGCCCGACCGCCGTCCACCTCCGCCGTGTCTCCCTCTTCATCGCCAAGCTGCTGGGCGGCGTCCAACACCGCCGCGCGCACGTCGATTGCATCGTCCGGCAGCCTAGCCGCGTCTCCAGCATCGGCGGTGGTCGCTGCGACAACAAAAAAGAAATCTGGAAGCAGGTGTCTGGAAGGTTTCATGGATTCAAGTTCATACGTTGCAGAACCTGAAACCGTGTCATCACACAATTGACCATAGACTTAACCCCTCGACTGACTACCGGCCAGCCTATTCAATACTCATCAGGAGCCAATCCCTCAAACCATGTGTTCCAGATTGTAAGGTTGAAAAGCCAGATGGTTGCAGATCTATGCTCGAACCTGCGTTGTCCCCAAACCCAGAACCCAACTCGTTTCGCACGTTACTCCTTTGAACCCCCACTTAACCTGTTTGAAAACCCCGCAAGATTTAATGCCAAACAGCCTACAAACTCCCAGGATGCCGTCAGGTTTTAGATGGGGGTTTAGCCCTCTAACGCTTTTGATAACCAGCCTCTAAACCCACCGACATCATTGACCACGTGTTAAACCCAGATTTAAACCCCTGGATCCTTTGATGTTGTGACGTCTTGGACACCCACCTTCAGAGCTGCCAGCTTCTTCACCTTCATCCTCCTCCGTCCGCAACAAGTCCACAGCGGCGACAGCTTCGCGCAAAGTGAAAGGAACCGGCGAGTCCCACTTCCTCGCCGCCTCCAGGACTTCTCGCATGCCCAGGCTAGATGCCCTCTCCCTTGCGGACTCCAACCCAAGCTCCCACGCTCTTAGCGCCTTTGGCTCGCTCACAGAGGCGTAGTCGCTCAAGACCGCCGTCAGATCCGTCGGCACTGGCTGCTCAGTGCCCTCGTGCCACAGATTCTTACGCCTTCGATTGGACGCAAACAAGGGAGAGTCCGCGTCCACTTGGACGGCAGCGGTCCGCCCAATATGCGACAACCGCTCCAGAGCCTCCCCGTAAGTGTAATTATGCTTGTTAACAACCGCTTGCCCAATCAACGAGAAGGTTTCCTCACAGCATTCTGTCCCAAATAAGTGAAGAGCGACAGGAAGGTGAGGGAAGCGGTCGCGCATAAGGCGGATGAGATTGACAGCAGCGTGGCAGGAAATGAGCATATCCAGCTGCGCCTCGCGAGTGACCCAGTTTTCCTTCAACGTGTGCCCAGCACCCCGATGCCGGATAAACTCGGAAGCAAAGAAAAGCATGTGGACAACGAAAGAGGCACTCTTGATGCGCTCAAAAAGTGTTCCCGCGCCGAAGAAGATATCAAGATACATCCCCAAAACCAGAAGATGCGCAATGGTGCCTGTACAATCCTCCTGCACGAAAGTGCCATTGGTCGCTACGAAACCCTCGCACACCTTCTCGAGACAAGCTCTGACTTTTGGAAACGCAAGCCGATGGGCAGCGGCCGTATTCTGTTTGTCTTTAACGTCAACGTCTTCTTCCAAAAGCCCATGCTGATCTCTTGTAAAGTGCTCTCGAACAAGGGCTAGGTGGTTCTTGGTAGCAAGATGCAAACCCCAGAATACGTTTCGAGTTGAGCTCAGGATGGAGTTTCGCAACTTCTTAGCGTTGTGATTTGGATCTTGGTTCATCAGGATTGGACCAGCAGAGGAGACTTCGGCTTTCATCACAAAGGTGGGGTGGTCAAGACCGTAAGAGCCCCGACCTATGCTGGACAGCATGCACCTAACCCGTCGCTTGTCGCCGTCAGAGGCGTGCGAAATCAGAGGCCCAATGTCAGACAAATGACTTCCATGAAAGCCGCGCACAACTTTCCACTGCTCCATCACTTGGGCTGCCGAGAACATATTGCAGGTAGGCAAGAAGGCGTACACGAGGCGTGGGAGCCCCACAACTAGTGGATTCAGAAGAAGAAGGCGGGACATCGACCCCACTTTCAGGTTTTTGAAAGCCTGTTGAATGCTCTCGAGTGAGCTGGCAGAGGGCTGGCAGTCAAAGGAACAGGAATGCACTCCAGAACCCGCAGGAAGTTCTCCGCAAAACCCCACTATCGTGTCTGAAGCCCGATGCCAGGTGGCCAGTCTGATTGAGGCAGTTTCATCCTCGCTACACTCGATTGGAACATGTCCTGAAATACCAAGACGCTGCTTATGAGCTGACAACACTTTGGCAGCCTGCTCGAAGGGCAATTCGCAAAGGACTGGAGGGAAGTGGAAGGCTTCCTTGCGATACTGGGCAAGAGATGTGTTTAGAACAGGCCCAAGAAGGTTGAGCGAGGCAAAATTGTGAGCCAGAGGTCCGCCAAAGCGCGCAAGCGTCTCAAACATCAGGACTGTACTCTTGTGATAGCGCTTTCCCCTTGCGTCCCCATCATGCTTTGTCACGCTAACAAGGTTCTTTGCGAGGTCAAGAAGGAAGTTATACAATTGAGTCCGCCCACTGAACGCGCCCAAATCACACGCACGCCGAACCATCTCGGCCAACTGAGAGGGATCACCACTATGCAACGCTTCCTCCACCTTTCCGGAAACAGACACGACAGACTTTCGAAGACGTGTGAGAGAAGAGTTCAAATAGAAAGCCTCCTGTCTGAGACTGTGGCATCGCTTTTGGAACTCTCTGAGGGACTCTATCAACTCCCCCCGCTGCAGGTTCTCAAACCCCACCCCTGGCTCACAAACCCTCTCCCCCCTCGTTAGCTCCGCTTTCGCTGCTCTTTCCACCCTCCTCCAAAAGTCTGGACAGCGTGGAATCAAGGGGCACTTTGTGCAGTCATAGCGTTCGCAGTCAACATGGCAAAAAGTGCCAACAACGGTGACCCCCTCAGCAGTCTGAAAGATGTACTCCGGCTCGGTATACCACTCCCCCCCCCGATGCAGATCGTTCTTCAGACTTGCGATCGACACGACCTCATCCCCAAGCTTGAGCTCATTTGCATAGAAGCCATGGCAGCACATTGCCGCAAAGTGCTCACGCCGCTGGGCTGACGGAATGTCGGAGATGCTAGGTGCATGGCCCAAAGGATACTGGACGCGCCCTTCTGCTGCGGCGACGTTCCAAACATCGGCAATGCTCCTCTGGGCAGCTGGCTTCCCCTTAACTGCTGCCGCTACAGCGGCTTGGTGAAGCTGACCCCTGACATGGTTGGCAATAGTGTCCCCCCCGCCAAAGGTGCCGCTGAAGGAGCAAAGCGTGCACCGCCAGTTCTCCTCAACGACCAGGACAGCACCTGCATGAAATGAAGTGAAGTTGCGTGAGGTCACCTCGAGTTTGTATTGACTAATCCATCTCACAAAAGTGCAGAACTTGTGAGAGGGCAGACCTGGCTGACTTTGCATTGCAAAAGACGCTGAGAAAAAGGGGCAAAGACCACATTTTAAGGAAGGAATCAGATCACAGCCCTTGTGATCTGCCTGGTAAAGATCCCACCAAGACTTTCAAAGACAAAGTGCCTGGGGTTTTTCAACTGCCCCTCAGGCCGTTCAGCTATGGATTCATAACAATCAAATCATGAAGACACCTGACAACTGTAGCAGGTGTCATGATGTTCAGATCGGAGTCCCACGCAGGGACGACCTTTGTCATTAGCCCTCACCAACCAGATTGACCAGATTACAGGACGCACAAAGCATTGTTCGCAAAATGGACTGCAAGTTGTAAAACAGCGTCCTCTGACCTAACCTTGATCTCAAGCTTTGCAAAGTTGGTAGATCTGAGACAGGATGCTTTTGACCGGACCTTGTTGTCAAGCTTTGCAAAGGTCTGTTTTCGTGCAAAACTTGAGAGCGGCTTGGCCACACAGGCAAACTAGGACCGTCAAACTAGGACCGTCAGATTGCAGTAAAAGCCAAGACAGCGCTGGTTGAAGCAACATTGGGATTGCTTCGTGATGCACAATGATTGAACCTTGTTATCATGTGAGTACAATGTTAGTACTCACCGTCGCTCTCGTGTTTCTCCACCATGGCGGTCCGCTTTGCCAGGAGAGTTGCAGCCTTCTCAGCATCCTCCCTCCCCTTCTTCTCAGCCTTGGCCAGAGATGCCTCGTGAGTGGCCCCGGAGAGGTGGCCCTCGAAATTCTTGAGCGTGCCATTGCTGGAATTGGGCTTGAAAAACTTCCCGCATGGCGTGCACCACACCGCCCAAACCGGCTTTCCCCCCTCAGCATTGATCTTCAACTCATACTCCCCATATTTCTCAAATGGCCGCTTACTGGTCAGCGCCTTAAAGCTCTTCCGGGTGACGTCAGGACACTGTAGACCGCCAGCCGCCCCATCTGCAATGTAACGTATGTCATTGTCAGTGAAGATACAGTTAAAGCAATGTCACATGTCGAATGGAGCCAGTCCCCAGCCAATCCCCAGCCAGACTTTGCGTCCCAACTTACATTCTTTGACCACTGTAGTCAATCAATCCAGAGGTGCTTGTGAGCTTCATTGAAGCCATCGGATCAGAGGTGCAAAGTCTGGCTGCATACGTTATAGGTGCTAATCGATGAAACGGGTACATTGCGCCTGTTCTTCCCTGAATCTCAACATTGGCTGCAAACAAAAAGCTAAATCACTTTGCTCTTCGAAAAGATTATTGAATCTCATCTATATGCTGGCCCAAAGTTTAAAACCCTGCAGCCCAATGTAACCTGTCAATCCTGTCAAGATCTGATGACTGACAAAGATTCAAGCAGACCCCTGAAGCCTAACATGATCTAAACAAGCAGATGATAATGGTCACTGAAAACCCTACAGAGCTGACTCAAAAAGGCCAAGCAGTCTGCCCATTTTGCTTCCAAGTATTCTCAAGAATCATGGTTGAAGCAGATTAACCATAACATCTGCAACAACATGACAGACAATGCTGCTACATAAAGAATAAGATAGCACATTGAAGCGCAAGAAAAGCAGGCAACCAGGCAATTGAGAAGCCATACTATGCCCATCTGTGTAGTGTCCAATCTGGGCAATGTCTAAGCTAATGATTCAAGATCCAGTACATACCTTTCTTCTCTCCCTCCAGCTTGACCTTCTTTGGAGGATGCTCGAACATCAGCACTTCCTCGTCCTCCCCCTCGGAAAGGTGGCCCCCTTTGGGCAAAGGTTGTGCACCAGCGGTCTCCTTTCCCACAGGCTGCTGCGCAGGCCCCACCTTCAGCTTCTCGTGGAAGGTCCTGTCACACTCGCAGCCCTTGCATGTCTCTGGATCCAACTTGGAGGGTTTGAACTCCTGGCATCCATCTTTGCCTCCAAGTTGGATGAGCTCCTTGTGTACTTTCGCGCAAGCACCACGAGGGCTGCTCGCCATGTTGACACGAACCTCTAGCGAGCCACTGCCAAGAAGAGCAATCAGAAGAACCCAGCACCACACTACCCTCGCTTCCATCACTGCCGCATCCCCCCTGACCCTAGCCTATCTAACCTACAGCTCTACTAATAACCTTCTTCTTGCAACTTTTCCTGATATCACCACAATTCAGAACTGGTCGCTGACAGCCTTACCCCTACTCTGCAAACGGCCTACCAGTGGGAACATCAATGTCGCCGCAGGGGGTGTAAATTCTGGCTTTCTTGAGGCCCCTAGAGCTCGTGACAACCCTCTTAATTTGAAGTTACCCCCTAGCGAAGCAGAAAAACCTCCAAAAACCACCTAAACAGCCAAAAAACCTCAGAAAACATAACAAACCTGGTAATAAACCTGGTTTGGTTTGTTTAAACAAAACCGGTTTTCGACCCTCGGGCTTGCACGGTGCTACGTATAGACTGTTTTTCATGTTTTTTCAATGTTTATTGATGTTTTTTCGGGCCCAAAAAACATCAGATTTATGAAGTAAGGGTATTTTTCGAAACCTCGTGTAACACCGATCATGATGGTTGACCCCGTAATTCGGCTTTCTTTCGTTTCGACATCGAAAAACCATGTTTAGTCCAGAAAACGCCACTCTTGTTTATCTGTTTGTTGCCTACCCGTTGCGCACACGTTCATTCTCAGGAATGTCAAGCAGAATAAAGAAGCGTAACATGTCTGTTGTATATTCACCCACCGAGGATGTGCCTTGACGCTTGTTCAGCATGTCAAGCCACAGCTTCTCCCGATTGTGTACGCCGTACTCCTCGTTGAAAGCTAGAACAAACTCTGCCCAGGTCTGGTTTGCAGGCTGGATTTCCGCCCACAACCGAGCAGCGTCTCTGCACAGGATTTTTGCAAGCGGAGTGAGCTGGGCTTCATGCAAACCATACAAGTTCCTGTAGTTCTCTAAATCACTGATCCAAGACCGCGCACTGATCCCTTTCAGCTTCCCGTCATACGTTGGTAGATGATTCATAGGAGGGATGCCTGTACGCATGGGCGGAAAGTCACCAGTGTTCCTGGTGTTCTCCAAACCCCCAGTACTAACATTAGGAAAAGCAGGGACGTGATTTAGGTACTTCTCAAAATCTGCTGAGAATGGGCTTCAGGCCCGTAAGCGTCAGGGCTGCTCATATCCTCAAGGGGGGAGCGCCCTGCATGTGAAAAGTCGTAAGCAGACTGCGATGCTAAGTGAGGAAATGAAGCTGACAACTTTCCTGTAAGATAGTCCCCTTTTTGGGTAGATTGGACTGGGAACTGAAATGGCCTTTGAGCGGGGGTTTCCCGCTCTTGCATTATTTCTGCCAGCTTACCTCTATTCTGTGCGACAAGCATCCGTAAGTCTGCATCACTTATGTGCCCCCCATAGAGTCCACCACTGGTTGACATCAAACATGACATTGAGCTACTCCCCGTTCGTGGGTCTGGTTGCAAACACAGGAAGGTGGGAGTTGATACTGGACTCAAAGGAGCATGCAATGCGTAACCAGAGCTTTCACCTTGCTTTAATTGACTGGACAAAAGCGATGACGGGGCAATTGTGCTTTGCCGAGCTGCCGGTGTGTTTACTTCTGGAGTGCCGGCAGTCTGAAAAGAGAAGGGAGGACACTCATTTTCTGCCCCACTCGTATTTCCCTCCACACTAGTTACTGGATGCTGAGTTTGAGCAATGCCCCTTTGAAGACTCTCATCAGTTGCTACGAAAGGATTGGCTTCCTCTAACCTGGTTCTGAATACAAAGGTCCCTGGATGTTCTCCGGAGACGCTTGTTTCAGCTGGAGTATCTGGTCCCCCCATTCTCTGAGGTGATTTTGCCCCAATCTTCAGATTGTCTAGTCGAGCAATCAAATGCAAAACTTTCTCCTTTAAGTCTTCCACTTTCTTCAGTCTGTTTCAGCTCCCAAACGGCTGCCCGATTCAGCTCAAACTCTGATAACAGCAAGTGTGGAACTCAGAACCAGCTCAATCAAAGTGTATGACACACAAGTTAGTCCAGGGTTTCAAGGGGTACACTGTACCTGTCTGCAAAGCCTGGAGTGTACACAGCTGACGCCCACAGGGCTCAATGAAGGACAGCTCACAGAGCACGTCCGCAGTACGCCGTTCCACTGGAAACGCGAGCAACTTGAGGAAGGCCGCCCACAGGACTGCCTTCTCACAGCAACAAGCTTGGTGATGATCCCCTTGCGGAAGCTCCCAGTTCCCAGCTCCCACAACCACTCTGCCACTGTTTACTCCTGGAGCACTTGCTGGACCTCTTCCCTGGTCCTTCTCTGAGGCACTTCCACAGGGCACTATTGAGACCGATCAATCTTCAGACTGCGCCTTGCGAACAGCTCAACTGCATTCTGCAACCAAACGTTCCGCGCAATCTACCCAACTTCTCCACCAAAACT